CTGTGATGTCTGTTACTCAAAGAAAAAAAGAGGAAATCAATAACTTTTATAGCTTTAAGGATTCATCTATATTTAATTTAGAATTTAGTGTTTGATAACTTCAGTTCCAATTTCTGTATATTTCTGCTGAAGGGCACAGGTAAATATGACATTTATTATAATAGGTTTATGTGAAGATTGTTTTAAGTTCACTTAAATTAGAAGTTATTTTTTAAAGTCTAATAAATGTTAAAATTGATAGCTCTCAATTATACTGTAATGTTGAATGGCTATAGTCAATGGTTAAATATCTTCCGGGTGAACGCTGGCGCTATTAGCTGCTGCTGCTCAGAGGGAATTTTAAACTTTTTAGTACTTCTAAATCTCAAAGAGTAGCCTGCCGTTTTTCTGCAAATATCAGCATGAACACATTTAATAATAATTTTATACAAGTTCAGTAAAGAGAGAGAGCGCGAGAAAGAGAGAGAGAAAGAGAGAGCGGTGTGTGTGTGTGTGTGTGCCTGCGAGAGAGAGAGAGAGAGAGAGAGAGAGAGAGAGAGAGAGACAGAGATCACATCACATCACAGTGGAGTCAGCGGTCTTAACCGTGGCTTGTGTACTGCAAACACATTCATCACTGTGTCTGTCACGAGACTCTGTTCCCCTTTCGGTCTCTGTCTTTACATTTATTTTGAAAGCTGACGCTCGCGATTATGGTAAGGGGCGTTACATTTCCGACGAGTGCTTGTGGTGTTCGGCCAATCACAATGCACTGAGTCAGCTGTCCAATCAGAGCAGACTGGCTTGTCGGAAGGAGGGACTTTGTAGAAAACTAAGTGTTTGAGAGAGGCGGGGCATAGAGGGCCTACAATAATGTACAGTATTTGAAAAATAATGTGTTTTTTGAACATTAAAGCATGTCAACATATTCTTTTACACCAAATACACAAAATAATGATCTTTAAAAAAGCATAATATGACCCCTTTATGTAGTTAATTGATTAATTCTTGGGTATCAGTCAATAAAATCTACAGTTCATGTCCAAGTTTCTGTAGCTCAAACATTAGCTTAGTTTTCTCTAATTCCAGTTTTTCTATTTCTAATTTTAGTTTTGCTTCCTCCAGTGTTAATACTGCATATTGTTTTTCCAGTATATGACTCATGGTTATCTTGCTTCCAGTGCCTTTCTGTGACTCTGTGTCTGAGCCACTTCCCACAGGTGCCACTTGGGTGCCCTCCAGATCATCTCCTTTAATAATAATAATAAACAATATTAGCAATGTTAATGAGTGACAGGAACAATTTCTTTGTTGTAAACATTTCTTTGCAAAAATGCTGTTGCCACTAGCCTCCTGTAGTCTTCAGTAATTTTAGAGCAAAAAATTGACGTTCTGTTTTTATTTATTTTATTTTTTATGGGAATAGTAGGAGACATGGTGAGGTTTTTGGCACTGACTGTGTGTACCCACAGACACAAACTGTAAACATGATTTGAAAAGGCTAGATTATGGGTAGCAAAATGTTTTCTCTTGGTTCAAGATTGACTGTAACAATAATACAAAGACCGACACATTAACATTTCAATAAAAAAAGTAGAATTTGACAAAAAGTAGTCTTTGATAATGTCTAAACATAAATACAAAATCAATACCTAAAATATTTAAGTAATTCATTGTGTTTGACAACACTGTTCTCAGAAACTACAGGATGCTTATCCTTGTATAATATACTGTAGAGAGCTATAGAGGCATCTAGTGGCTACACAATGGTATTACAGATGAATTTCAAAGTAAGGATTACCAGAACGTTAACTTGGTGAATTATAACTCGTTGTTTTAAGATTGTAAATGCGTTTTACCTTCACTTTGCGTTGTTTGGTTTGTCACAGGCACTTCTTCAGTGACCAACATTAACGTTACCTCGCAATCTACAAAAAAAACATCAATTACATTCTATGCTACAGAACAACAGAAACATTAGCAAAAAAAACTACTACTTATGAGACTGTCCAAGCGGAGCTGATGTAACAGCCGTGTGAGGCAATGTATCTTCCCCTGCAGTGGGTGATGTCGTGCAGGAAACGCTGCTGTCCCTCCCTCCGGGGATTCCTCAAAACATCGGCAATTCGTCTCCATATATATCAATTATCATTTCCGTTGTTCTTTTTAATTTAGGACTTGGTCCTCCTTCTTTGCTTCCTGTACCATGTTTTTAAACCGTTTCTTTACATCTTTGGCAGTTCGCGGGACCAAGGGATCCTTGGACCGTCTCCGTCCCTTTCTCTCAACCAATAATACAGCAGTTCTTGTTCATGCACTAGTCACTTCACATATAGAGTACTGTAATGCCCTTCTCACTGGTGTTCCCTCTAAATTGCTACATAAGCTCCAGCTGGTTCAGAATTCTGTAGCTCGTGTTCTTTCTAGAACAAGCCAAGTCAAGTCACCTTTATTTATATAGCGCTTTTAACAATACAGATTGTGTCAAAGCAACTGAACAGCATTAATTAGGAAAATAGTGTCAATAATGCAAAATGACAATAGTAAACACTAATTTTTCAGTTAAAGACAGTTCATCATTGAATTCAGTGATGTCAACATCCAGCTCAGTTTAAATAATATCTTTGCAATCATGTCAACGATATCGCTGGAAATGAAGGGGCCCCAACTAAGCAAGCCAGAGGCGACAGCGGCAAGGAACCAAAACTCCATCGGTGACAGAATGATCAAAAGACCAACTCAACTCTGTCCCACGACATATTTCCCTCATCCCTCTTCCACTCCAACACCTCACTCGTAAACAGTGTTGGGCAGTAACGCATTACTGTAATTTGATTACTTTTTTAGTAATGGAGTAATTTAACGCGTTATAATTTTCAAAATAGTAATTAGAGTATAGTTACAAGCCGAGGTCTCTATACGTCACTGCCGCATTACATTGCTGACAGAATGCAGTGTTTTGTAATCTAGAGATTGTAAAAAGGATGTAGCACACGCACTGTCACGTCAAGTGCCAGTGGGTTAGAGACCTGCTCACCCGCGAGGCCCGACGCAACAGAGTGCGGCACGTGACAAGATGAGCGAGTGCTGGTGAGGGCGGGTAGACACTCGTATGTGTGCGGGATGCGGGAGAATAAAATGTTTCACGGGACTCCCACAAAATAGAAATATCTAAACATAAAATATCTAAAACAAATAAATTGTTATTCATCTTTTGCACAAAAGCAACTATTAACAGGTGCAAGCGTATGCAGAGTTTCTATTTAGGCTATAACACGTGTTTGCAGCATTGA